TGTAAGTTGTGAGTTATTTTCTTTAATCTTCTTCCTTGAATATTAATTCTTTCTTTCAAAATACTATCTCTATATCAAAGTTGGGGAGTGTTACTAAGATGACAATTAGTTAACATCTTGACATTGGTCATAGTAATAGCTATTTCTTCCTCTATGATTATATTGGGGAGTGTTGCTAAGATGACAATTAGTTAACATCTTGATATTAATCATAGTAGGATTCATATATTTTAATATTCTTCCTTGAGTATTGATTAATTCCTATTCATATTTCATGTTAATATCTTAAACATTACTTAAAGTATCAACTAGTATTGTTTCTCATATTAATTATTACTAGAATCAATCGGTTAATACGCTTGTTATTAATCCGGTTCTTTCAACGGTAGTAAACTTGGAATATTAATGCATGCATCTCATGGTTAATATGCCAAGGGGAATTAATTATATTGATTAAACCAATAAACCGCTTGTGTTGAGGTTATCAATCTCAATCGTCTTCATCTTAAGTTTATTGCTACTATCAAGTTAATATACGGTGCTTGTTCTATATTGACTCGATAGTAAGTTTTATTAATGAACGCATCTCGTTATTAATAACTACCCTCGATGAACTGGATATACTCCTCGATTGAGTATTCGAGAGGAAGATAGTTAAAGATATAACCGGGATCGACGAACATTTCATTAAGTGGATAAAAGCAAAACCAAGTCCCCATCTCATTGAATTAAACTCATATAGGTCGTTTATCTTAGTGTTATTAAACCAAACAAATCTAAACCCCCCTTGTTATTATTTATATAAAAGAAAAGTATTCCTTTCCCTGTGGATACGAACCTTACTACACTATACTACGTATTAGTGTTGTATTGATTATTTATTTTGAGTGCACCTAACGACGAGTGCACGTCAGGTCCACCACCCGACCAATCAAGTCTATGACTTGTTACTGCTAGATAGTTCTCATCAAAATTATTTGATGATTATTGCATATTTTTCGAGATCAATGAAAAACATCTCGCATCCCATGTGAAAAAAAGAACTTAGTAAAAATCACATCTAAAAGAATATAGATGATGAATATTATATCTACTATGCGCATGTGTATATATAATTATTTTCATGGGATTATGCAATATTGCAAGCACTCCTGCACATTTGTTTTTAAATCGATACTAGACAACCACGTTTATGTATACCAGTTGGTGACTGGATGTTAGCCTGAGATGTTCTACTTATGAATATGTGGTTGTTAAATAGTTGTGCCTATTGCGTCTCCCACAACGCATTATAATCGGTTTTAAAAGAAAAATGATGTTTATGTTGGATATGAATCCCCAACAATAATCCGCTACTAGCCTTAACAAATAATGTGTACACCGCTTTGTGGGATATGACTTTAATGAGACAATTGATTTTCCTATCATTAGGGGGAGATTAGAGAAATAACTCTCTAATTGAATGACAAAATCATTATGATGGTATATCACTACTTTGTCTCAATGATAAATCTTAGACTTAAAAATGTAACATTGAAGTTAAAGTGGTATCATAAATGATTTAAGTAATCAGATTATACACACTACCTGCAAACATATTTATAAGTTTGAATTTAAATTAATAGAAACAATGCTAAAGGAAGAAGCATTGCAATCACAAGCAGTGGGGTTGTGGTTGAGGCCATGGCTCTCTAAAGGAATAGAGGGAAGCGACATGGTTCGATTAATTATCCACCCCAAGTAGTAGAGGGTAGATAAGGCACAAACCAATATACTCATCATCATATGAATTCCTCTCATGAGATTATCTCTGATTAAACATGTCCATGAATTTATAATGGGGGACGCCCCGAAGTTTAAATGATTTTAGAGAATTAAAATCTCAATGTTAATGAGAGTGTGTATGAGTCGAATGATAGACCTTACACTTATACTGACGGTATATTTATACAGTTGCTCAAAGGAGCATAGAGCACGATGATATCGAACCATACTCTATTGCAATATGAAAGCAATGAGAATATTGGCCTAAATGCGTACAAGTAATCCAGGTATAAATTTAATATTTGACAAAGAGACAGGTATTTGGTATGGTAGTGCTAATCAACCAAGTGTAAAGCCTGTAGGACATGAAATATTTCTTTGTTAGAAAGCGTACTGAGATAATGAGGTCCTAATTATTCTAAAAACGCCCTGGATTCAAATATGAAAAGTTATACCTCTCTATTTTGACCACAAAAATGTTCAACTACTTAATCTATAAGTAGACTCCAAAGTAATGGAGACGCAGCTAAAGATTGTGGACATTAAATGTCTCAATAGAATTTCATTAAATAGATGTATATGAAGTATTTGTTATGTTTTTATTATCTTTAATCAAGTGGTTTTAAATTACATTGTATATTTACATTGAAACGTTCACATTTGGATTAAATCAATCCAGACGAGAGTGACATACCCATCTAAGTGACCACTTGACTGAAAAGGGATAGAAAAAGATAGATTATGTTTTCCCTCCAAGTATCATTATATGTCAAAGATATAGACATAGTATGTACTCATATTAAAGAAAATGAGAAATCTTAGATACTTGGAAGTCATAATTGAGATAAAGGATCTTGGGAAACTAAGGTTGTTTTGAAAACACCGAGTTGGTTGAATAATAATTCACCGGTTGCATATATCCAAAAAGGTTCTCAGGCAAATTAGCATGGATAAATGTAAACTGTTAGCACTCCCATGATTGATTGAAATATGGATGTTAGAAAATATATCCATTATTGGAAAGTTATTGGGAGAAGAAATTCCCTATAAAAGTGCAATATGCGCATGATTGTACTTTGACAAACACATTCCATCAAATAATACATTCTCAAAAACGTGTTAGCTGAAAATAACTCAGGACCGATACATAGTATATCATCATTGAAATAGTATCAAGAATGTACTTTGATATCTATATGAAACAATTGGTATAATCTTTATTCATCCCTTATAAATTAATTAAATGATTGATAATAATAATATTTCTAAAGGAATTATTGGAAATGTTAAAAGTATCACTCTAACATAAAGTAACGTGATTTGAATTTTACTGATGATGGATATCCCCTTACCTCATTTATACCCTTACCTCATTGATACTTTCTTATATGAGGATATATTTACCATGAAATAAACCAAGATGTTATATCTACGATACCTTGATAAAAGTATATATCAAGTACATATTGAATTTTTATTGATGTGTTGCATTCAGGGGGAGTCCTTACATACTTATTTATCATCAGTTATATTGGTGCATTGTACTCTTTTTCTTTTCTCCCTTTTGACCAAGGTTTATTTTTTCCCATTGGGTTTTGTTACTTGGTAAAGTTTTTTTATGAGACAACACAATATGCACCATCCAACATTTTAATTTTGCGAAAGTAAACATTGTTGAAGAAATAGCATAATTACTATATCGCAGTCAAAAGTAATTGACGTGTAGGTTTTAGTGCACCATATTCCCTTTTCACTTTGACCGATGTTTATTTTTCCCATTGGGTTTTGTTCATTGGCAAGGTTTTTGCAAGTTAATTTGGGAAAATTCCCTACGCTTGACACACAGGGGGAGAATTAAAGGAATTATATTCCTCTCTTGTGTGCCTCCGCTAAGGTAATTGATGTGACAAGTATTGAAACGCACATATTTTACTAACACCCTTGATCAATGTAAATATTAAGGGTAGATGTAGACTTAAGGGAGAGTACCCCGACTAGATGACATTACACTCTTTTCCTTTGACCAAGTTTTATTTTTTCCCATCGGGTTTTGTTACTTGGTAAGGTTTTTAATGAGGTAACGATACATATAAACTTTAATGATCAAAGCAAAGATCAAATAAAGATAGACTTAATGAAAGAAGCCTATCTTGATGTTATACTCCTTTTTCTCCAGTCAAGATTATTTTTTTCCACAGGGTTTTTGTTACTTGACAGAGTTTTGACGAGGCAATAAGACTGATACCAAATTCTATCTACAACTCAGCACAAAGGGGAGTGTTGAAGGAAATTCTGTGTAGTGTGCTATCGTGTATATAGAATATGTATTAGGATCATTCTATGTAAACTATCTATTATATGGGTCCATTGGCCCGTCTATGTAAACCCTAATATCTCCCTATTTATAGGCCTTTGATAATGAAACTATACACCCAATTCTCCCTACAACATAAACAAGGTAGTAAATTCTACCTATATATAGATAGGGATGGTGTCGATTGTCCTTTGGTAGCGCTACTACGTCCATAAAGTATTGAAAGACGTATAGAGCACCACCATAAGATGAAGTATATTTTTTGTTACGAATGGGTGGCGAAGTTTGATAGATCTGAGGTTAGGGATGGATCGGACCCGGTCCGCCCTGTCCGTGAACCGGCCCGGCCCCCTAATGTGGATAACCGGTTCCGAGCCTAGGGTAACCGGTTCTAGACCCGGTCCGGGCCATTTTTTTATGTTTTCTCATTTTTTTTGGTTTTCCCAGGGTAGGACTGGGTGTTTTGGGTGGGTTAGGGTGTGGGGTGGAGGGGGGTTAATTAGAAAAGCAAAAAACAAAAAAAAATATTGAATTGGATCGGCTCAGACCGGGACCGGGCCGACCCGACCCAAAATAGCTGGCTACCTGGGCTGGTTCCGGTTCACCCTTTCCCAAAAAAAACTCGGCCGGGTCCAAGCCCGACCTGAGTCCACCCCTATCTGAGGCCATCCTCTGGTAGCAGTTTCGGTAACAAATGCATCGACAGAGGCATTGTTGGTGGCAAAGGTTATTTATATATAAAAAGCTACAGACTATAAGGATGTTTTTATTTGGACTGTAATTCGTCCCAGACCAGACCAGACCAGACCAGACTTGGATAGTTATAAAAATACAAAGAAACCAGACCAGACCAGACCAGTTCAGACCAGACCAGACAAGACCAGACCATCAAATTACAGTCCAAGTAAAAACATCCTAAAAATAGGAGTACAAATATTTTTGTAACATTTCAAGGAAAATAAACCATTTACTATCATTTGATGAAAAGAATTGTTTTTCGAACTCACAAATGTTTTCGTCTGTTTCATGTAAAATGATACTCCGTATGTACAACAAAATACGTATAGGCTAGAGCACCAACATAAGATTCGTTGTAATATTCAAACGCCGCCTCTTCTTTTCTGTCCAACGATGCAGGCAGACGGTGCACCGCCGGTGAGTTTGAAGCTCCTCATCAACAAGAAGGATAAAAAAGTGGTTTTCGCGGAAGCTGAAAAACCGTTCGTGGACTTCTTGTTCTACTTGATGTCCTTGCCGATGGGGACCGTCATCAAGCTTGTGACCCAGAAATCCATGGTGGGTGCCCTCGGCAAACTCTACGGCAGCATCTCTGACCTTAGCGACACGTACTTGCAGCCGGGCACAAACAAGGATACCTTCTTGAACCCCAAAACTACCGTTCTGATGTCTTCGGAAGTGCCACGTCTAATGCCGCCGGCCGCCGGTTTCTCTGCGGTGACCAAGAAGGTTTACGCGTGTCCCAAGTACCTTTATGGTACCGGCGGCTCTAGTAGTTGCCGGAACACATTGCGATTCACTGATGACCCGAAAGCTGTGTGTCCGGGCTGTCACTCCGCCATGAGCGCTGAGATGAACTACGTCGCTCCGGTGACGGCAACGGCGGCATCGTCCAGGGACGACGACGACCGCGGGTTTGTGAGGGGGGTTGTAACCTATATGGTAATGGATGACTTGAAGGTAATGCCGCACTCTACCATTTCCACCATAACCGCTCTCAATGAGCATAACGTGAAGGACTTTGGATCCCTTGAGGTTAAGGTCGTCCAATTGGGTATTGATTCGGTACGCACGCTATTTCTTGTTCCCATCTATTCTCTCAAAACGTTGTCAAATCTTTAAAGAAAACTATTTACTCCGTATAATACTCTGTATAAAACAATATGAAAAGTATTCTTTGATAAAAGAAAATTTATAACTTCTCCAATACTATGGTATAAAATAGTTAACATCATTGACTTGAAAAGTCAAACGTTTTAAGATACTCCCGGTTTCAATGAAGTTTATACTTTGACTTCACACAAATTAAGGAAATAAATTTGATTTTACCGTAAAGTACATTGTTTGACACTGTTTGCTGTAGATTTATTTGTCAAATAAGGAAAATAAAGAAATGTAAAATTTAATATTAGAAAGTTCAAAAAGAAAAGTGTAAAGTTAATTAAGGATCGGAGAGAGAGGATAAAAGTAGTATACTATGGTATATGTTATGGCCAATGTAAAGGTACCTCATTTTGGGGTACCCCATTTTTAGACTCCCATTGTAGTAGCAAATAGGGCAAAACTTTTAAGTGAGACAATACATTTAAGTGTGACCTTATTTGGATCAAACTGCAGTGAAAATGGTGTAGGTATACACAATTACTCCTTGTTACGGACTACTTCCTTGCATTGCTTAGGGGGTACTTTCCACATGTAGGGAGTATCAATTACATGCGTGGCAAACGCCGCGCGCAATTAAAGAAACATTATAATGGAAAACGTGATTTTTTTTATGGTGACAACTCCGGTATCATTTAAAAATGGGATATCGTACCTACCATTCATACTATTGGTCCAAACCATCATATGATTTTTAATTTAGATTTAAATAATTCAACTGCAACGTTCTGAATTTACCATAGAATTTACCTTTTTTTATTTCCTACCTTTTTGCGCAAGTTACCATAGAATTTACCTTTTTTAATTTCCTACTTTTTTTCCGCAACCGTATATTTATCACTAATACGGAGTAGTAATGTTCGGGATTAACATTTGGTGGCAGGGACTGAAGTTGTTGAAGGCTGCATTGCATACTAATTCTGTTCTCACAACCGTATTCCTGGGGAAGTAGCTATGCTTAATTACATGTTCGAGGATGCAATTGTTGTTTTAATTTGAAGTTTAACTTTTGTGATGTACCGTACCGTTAATTCCGCAAGCTATGGATTTTTGCTTAAGCATGCATCATGTAAGTTTTTGAACTATCTTATGAACTACTCCGTATGAAGTAATTTTAATTTAAATATTATACTCAGTATATGTTCTACATTCTTGATTTTCTGTTTTCAAACAGTCATATTAGTCTGAGATCGGCCTGGTTCTTAGGCAAAACACGTGGAACAATTTAAAAATTATCAATTTTCAATATCGGTTCGGTTCTTAATTATAAATTATTTGTAAAATCAATAATGTAGAAGTGAATTTAACGTTTACAGTTCAGTATTAGTCATTTTTCGGTTCCTATATTTTTAGACTTTCCTACAAAGCATTGCTAACTTTGTGCCACATAAATTATTCAACTTTGATATTGTAAAATATACAAATACGTCCATTGTTGTCATCATTTCAAACTTCAAATTAATAGTTAAGTTTCAAACGTTGAATGTCTGACACAAATTTATAACAAATTAAAAATATTTATTAAGAAAACAAAAGAGACATTTACTACAAGAGAAATTGGTTAAATACTTATCTAAGTTATTAACTCTATTCACTAGTGAAAAAAGATCAATTTGCAGTACACTATTAGCGATGGTTCAATAATAAATGCCATATATTTTTGAAAAAATAGAGGACGCGCGCCAATTATATTTCTATATATAAAATCACTGCTAATAATTTTTTTATTCTTTTTATCAGGGCTGTCGGCCATCTAGAGCAAATATGAGGCCCCAGACAGTCATAGATACATTTTGAGTAAACAACATTTTTCAACATAATATAATACGTAAAAAATAGAATACCCTTTTAAAGATGTAAATTACATATGAAATAAATCATATAGGGTGTGTTTGACAATTAGCCGTTGGTTGTTGGCTATTGCTGATTGTTTTAGCTGTTTGAAGACAATAGATTCTGCTGGCTGTTTTGATTAGCTGATAGAATTAGCTGTTTGTAAAATAGTGTTTGGTTAAATGAGTGTTTACAATCAGCGGATAACTTGTTAAATGACTTTTAAGGACATTGATTATATATTTTCTTATTAATATAATTAGTATAACTAATTAAACCATTTTAATCCCTTCAAAAATAAAAAATACTCTAACACAAATAGTAATTATTTTCAACATCGTTTTTCATGAATTGATAGATTTAATTAGTGTGATGATATTTTGATTAATAAATGGAGTTATTATTAAAATTGTATCAAGAAACTAATGCTATTAAGCATATGTATACATGTTATAAGTAAAGAAATATGTATGAATGAATCAGGATGAATTGAATCAAATGCCTGATCGCCGTTGTATTTCATTTCATTATTCCAAAAATCGCTTTGTATAAATTAGGAACTACCAGTAATAGAAAGAAGCACTACGAGTGGGGGGCAATTTTCAATTCTACCGATTTTCTCTAACGAGTAGGAGGCTCGTACGAAAAAGAAACGGGGGTAGGGCAGGAATAATCATAACAGACGATCCTAAACGCTAGAGTGATTGGCGTTTCATATTGTAGCTGTTGGAGATAAAAAGCCAAACGTAAAAGTCATTTAACCAAACACCCTAATTAGCTGATTGATTGGTCAAAAGGCTAAATGTTGGTCAAATCAGCCAAAAAATGGCTGATAGGGTCCTAACCAAACACCTCCATAATACTATTAACGTAATGAGAATATTCTTCTAGGGTGAAAGATTAAAAAATGATCAAAAATACATCCTCATACTCATTCTCAAACATGACATTATTTGTACTCTCGTTCTTAACAATATTTAAGAGAGAAAGTTTTGTGGTTACGTACCTATAACCGACCAATAGAGCCGGAAAACGATTTTATATCCAAATCCTTTCTTAACTTATTCTTTCTCTTGGTACATCAGTTTCATTTTCTTGTCATCACAAATCCACCAATTTATTAAAAATAATACTTCGTGCTAAATCAATTAATAATTCATAAATACAAATTTATTCCACTATTCGTTATTGCAATTTCAATATATCAAGATACTTACCGAGTATAGTATACTCTAAATCCTAAGCCCTTCTGCCCGGCCAAACGGGTCAACCAACTACTCCTGGAGTTTTTTCCTATGAAGGGGTACTTTTGAAACTTATTTCCCAACTAAGGGTAGTTTTAAACTTACTAGTCTTTCACCCGTGCGTTGCACGGGATAATAGACTAATGCTAAAGTGTCTTGACAATGCCGAAAATAAGATAAAATATTATATTTTTTAAAGATAAAACAACTTGTACATTCAAAAAATAAAATAAAACAACTTGTAAATGACCCGTTTCAAATAAAATTCTATTCTCTTTCATTATTGTTGTGTTAAGAAAGCTTTAGAGAGAAGCAAAAGAAGAAAGCATACCAGATATTGCATTTTATCTCTTATTGTTATCACTAAGTTCTTTGGTAAACAGACCATAACACAAAGAACACCAACGTGTTAGGAATCTTATACGCAATTATTTGGTAAATATAGATTTGTTCTTAATCTTCATACACATCTCAAAGAGATGATACTCGTATATTGCAGAATTATTTCCACATTTGCGTGTGTATAATATTTGCGTGTAAAATATGTAATTTTACGTGTTAAAATATGTAACTCACGTTCAGTCAGGCCAAATGCAACTCGTGTGTATAAATATGTATCTCTACGTGTAACAATATGTAACTTTACGTAAAAGAATATGTAACTCGCGTTCAGACAGGTCAAATGCAACTCGTGTGTATAAATATGTAACTCGCGTGTATATATATGTAACTTTACGTGTAAAAATATGTAACTTTACGTGTAAATATATGTAACTCGCGTTCAGACATGTCAAATGCAACTCGTGTTTATATATATGTAACTCGCTTTTAAAAAGATGTAACTCGCTTATAAAAAGATGTAACTTGCTTATAAAAAGATGTAACTTGCTTATAAAAAGATGTAACTCGCTCATAAAAAGATGTAACTCAATGTATTATCAAATGTAACTGAGGCCACTGATCCACTCCCAAACATATTCAATCTTCTATTTCACAAACCTATCATCTCCCAAACAGATTCGATTTTCCTTATAATCCAATACTCATTAATATAATAGTTCGATAATTTCTTAACATTACAGAAGCAATATTGGTCTCATTTGAAAGATCATGAAAAATAAAAAATGTTGATATAAATTTTATAAAAATCGGATCAAAAATAAAAAAGTTATCATCATTTTTTAACAACAAAAGCAAAAAAAAATAGAGATGCTACGTCGTTTTTGCAACCAGGCGCACCATCCTCATGTTGCGCCGGTTGCACGGTATAATTTGCCCCTTTTCACGGCTTCAACCCCCTTCGGCAATCACCAATCGCTCTAACAGCCTAACAGGTCAACAACACTCTGCACTGCCAACTTTAATTAGTCTTTAGGTATTTTATTAACCTTACTAATTGCGTTGTTGGTTTTAGTTGATTTGAAGAGTTTTCAGTCCACTTGTTTCTTACTCCGTATTTTATTGTTTACATTTTTAGTTTTTTCAAAATGTTAGTTGGTCGACCCGTTTGACCCGTTAGCTTTTTTGCGTTTAAAACACGTTTTAAATACGTACCGTTTTTTGAACAAAAAAACGCGTTTAAAATGAAAAATAATGTCGGTCCGTTTAAAGAAAAAAAACTTTCACTTCCCGTATAAAACGTATATTTCCCGTATTTTACAAAAAATAAAAACATCATTTGATCACTTGAATGAATACATCAAATGAATAGGAGATCAACAATAGTTTAAAAGCAAAAAAAAGAAAACCTCATCCATGTGACCCCGTGTTTTTGTATTGTTACAATACAAAATATACAATTGTTAAATACTAAAATTAATTGCACGATGACTAAAACTAGCATCATAAAAGACTAAAATCTAAAATACTAGCTAGTACGTATTAGATTTGTGATGTTCTTGTCCAAACAAGCATATCAAAATTAAGGTTTTTCTAAACTGACATTTTTAGTATAAATTTTTACACATAAACAATATATAATAAGTGTAGCAGTCGCACAACTTTCTCATGTCATCCGTCATCTAGGTGAAAATGATTAGTTTAACTTGAGTGTTACTTGATGATCATATAAAGATGACGATGGTGTTAACTTGGCTCCATTCTATCATTATTATGCCTTATTTTCTGATATTACTTTTCAAAATTATGTCTTGGACTTGATTACTTCGTACTATTTTTACTTTTGTCATCGACTTATGCAATTATGAATTATTCTTTTATGTAGTAATGTGATGTGCAACTTCAATGTGTACACTCTTATTTCTTTTTATTATATGTTATGTTATGAAGTATATTATTTAAATGTTATTTTGGACTTGATCATTGTTTCTTTTTTTTGTCATGAACTTATGCTATTATCAATGCATTTTTTGATGGAGTAATGAGATATTATATTTGAATGTGTGTGTATGTTGATTATCCTTTATGTACTATATGTTTTTTATGCTCTAAAAACTAATACAATAATTTAATAATTCAAAACAAGACCCGTATTTTTAACCCGAATTTTTCTAAGAGATGCCGTATTATACACGTATACATATTTACACGTTTTAATTTATAAAAGTCAACATATTTTTTGCTGAATTTTTGATCGAATTTTTGTACAAGTTACTAAATAAAACACGTACGTATTAAACCACGTTTAATTCTCGTACGGTATTTAACTAATTATGATCTCCAAAAGGCCCTACTCGATGTGTACAAAGGCTGAAGCTAGAAGGTCAAAGGTCGAAGCTGAGAGACGGCATACTACTTACCTTTTTTGAGACTTGAATCTTTGATCAGTTTGATGCAAACAAGCAGGTCAACAGGTCGTGAGGAGACCGACACAACATACCGGCACTGCCTTCCCCTTTCACGACTTCAACCCTTGGCCCCTTCGGCAATCCCCAATCGCTCTAACAGCCTATCAGGTCAACAACACTCCGCACTCCCAAGTTTAGTCTTTAGGTATTTTATTAACCTTACTAAATGCGTTGTTGATTTAGCGCAATTTATACCCTGCAACCGGCGCACCATGAG